CATTTTCGAGTTAATTAAATAAAGAACCATTAAATTTTATGTAGATTTAAGTGTAATCATATTTTTTAACTATTCTAATTATATAATAATTACTTCTAATGCTAACTAATTATACATATAAGAAAGTTAGTCACTTATCAAGAATTCTATTGCATTTTTTTTCAAACTAGTTATTCTAAAAATAATATTTTATTTTCATCTCATTAATATTTTTTTAATTAGAATTAACTTTTATGGCACCTTAAATTACATGAATAATTTCTATAATAATAATAATCAATATAGAACTAATCAATTGATCACGATATCTCAAAATTATAAAAGTTATTTTATTTATTATATATAGTGATTTATATATAAAATATACATTTTATATTTATGTAGTTCATTTTTACTAATGTTTAGGATTTTAAAATATGATATACTCGTTATCAAAGTTATAATTTTAAATGTTATATGTATACATATAATGTATAATATTTTATCTGTTATTTTAGTTTTCAATATAAAGTTGTGAAAATTAATGAAAAACTGTATTGAAATTGAAAATGAAATATAAAAAGATCGGGTGCAACATTTTACCCACCCGCTCACATGGTTTTGGATCACTTTCTATAAAAAGATCGAGTGCAACCCGTTCACATGGTTTTGGATGACTTGAGTGCTTCATATACTATTTCACCTGAGTTGAAGGACTTGAGTGCAATTATTTACCTACCATTCACAATTTAGGGTTAGAGGTGCCAACATCTCCCCTCACTCTATATATATTTGCGTGTGCTGAGTATCAAAGTGCCGCACTCTACATCTGTTTTTTGGTACGTATGTTCTATCATAGTAGACAATTTCTCGTTATTCTTGTATGTTGATGACTTCGATTTCATATCATGATGTGTTTCATTAATCCAATCGATATTCTGGTGTTTTGATGACTTTCGATTTCATTTCATGATGTGTTTCGTCATTTTAATCGCATCAGGAATGGGGGATGAATATTTATGAATTTGTTCTAAAAGCTTTGGTAGATTAGTTGATTTTTCTGCTTCAGATGCAATCATGGCTGTGATTTATTTGTTTGGTTTTGGATTTGAATGATTTCTGAAGTCACATATCTGCCTTGAGTTCAGCTTGCTTTATTTGTAGTTAAGGTGAAGATGTTTCTTTCGATTTTTCAAATATAAAGTCGCTGGATGTTATTATTTTTTGTTGGAATTTACTGCAAGACCATTGAAAAGCCTTGATTTTCTTTTCTAGATCTGTGTTGATTGTTTGGGTCTTATATATGTTCAGATCTGAGAATCATCTGTATGGTTATGTGAAGATTGATTATTTTTTTGTGCAGACAAAGTTCATTAGTTTTTTACTGATTCTGATTGATTAGGATGATACTTTCTTTCTTGTTGTACTTGCTTTTGGATTTTGGATTTTATACGTTGTGTTGCTTATTCTGAAGTGCTCACAAGTTTTTTTTTTGTTAGTATTTTATCTGTCTTCCAGTTTTTCCTGTATAATTATATTGATGGTTTTACATATGTTATAATATGTGCAGGTAATATTTGGAGGAAAACCTCCTGTATATCTGATTTGGATTAAGTGAATCATAAAAACCAGCAAAAATGGTAAGCAACATCAGCCACATGTGTTTTATACCTTTGCTGAAATCTGATGTGGGCTATAAAACTTAGTACTTCCATTTTAATGTATGCAGGTGAAGTTCACAGCAGAGGAGCTCCGTAAAATTATGGACTACAAGCATAATATCCGTAATATGTCCGTCATTGCTCATGTTGATCATGGTAAGGAGGCCATTTTTAGTTGTGCTTATACTATCTATATGTTGTGTATTTTATGTTTGTTGTCTGAACAAATAACCTGAGAAACTGTTCTTTTCCATACCATGCAATAATCAATGTTTGCAATGTTCTTACAGGGAAATCTACTCTCACGGACTCTCTTGTTGCTGCTGCTGGTATTATTGCCCAAGAGGTTGCCGGTGATGTTAGAATGACAGATACCCGTGCTGATGAAGCCGAGCGTGGTATTACCATCAAGTCCACTGGTATCTCGTTGTACTACGAGATGTCTGATGAGTCCCTGAAGAGCTACAAGGGTGAGAGAAATGGCAACGAGTACCTCATTAATCTCATCGACTCTCCCGGGCACGTTGATTTCTCGTCTGAGGTGACGGCTGCCCTTCGTATTACTGATGGTGCTCTTGTTGTGGTGGACTGTATCGAGGGCGTGTGTGTCCAGACTGAAACTGTCCTCAGACAGGCTCTCGGTGAAAGGATTCGCCCTGTCCTGACTGTTAACAAGATGGATAGGTGCTTTCTCGAGCTCCAGGTTGATGGTGAGGAAGCCTACCAGACCTTCCAGAGGGTCATTGAGAATGCTAATGTGATCATGGCCACTTATGAGGATCCTCTCCTTGGAGATGTCATGGTTTACCCCGAGAAAGGCACAGTTGCCTTCTCTGCTGGTCTCCATGGCTGGGCTTTTACTCTGACCAACTTTGCTAAGATGTACGCCTCCAAATTCGGTGTCGACGAGGCTAAAATGATGGAGAGGCTGTGGGGAGAGAACTTCTTTGATCCGGCCACCAAGAAGTGGACCAACAAGAGCACCGGGTCCCCCACTTGTAAGCGTGGATTTGTCCAGTTCTGTTATGAGCCCATCAAGCAGATTATCAACACCTGTATGAACGACCAGAAGGACAAGCTGTGGCCCATGCTTCAGAAGCTCGGTGTCACCATGAAGTCTGAGGAGAAGGAGCTGATGGGCAAGGCATTGATGAAGCGTGTCATGCAGACCTGGCTGCCTGCCAGCAGTGCTTTGCTGGAAATGATGATATTCCACCTCCCCTCCCCTGCCACTGCCCAAAAATACCGTGTGGAGAACTTGTACGAAGGCCCGCTTGACGATACTTACGCTAATGCCATCAGGAACTGTGATCCAGAAGGCCCCCTCATGCTCTATGTGTCTAAGATGATTCCAGCCTCCGACAAGGGGAGGTTCTTTGCTTTCGGCCGTGTGTTTTCCGGCAGGGTTTCAACTGGCCTGAAGGTCAGAATCATGGGTCCCAACTACGTCCCTGGCGAAAAGAAAGACTTGTACGTTAAGAGCGTCCAGAGAACTGTCATCTGGATGGGCAAGAAGCAGGAAACTGTAGAGGATGTGCCATGTGGAAACACAGTTGCCATGGTTGGGCTTGACCAGTTCATCACCAAGAATGCCACCCTCACCAACGAGAAGGAAGTCGAGGCCCATCCCATCAGGGCTATGAAGTTCTCCGTCTCACCAGTTGTGCGTGTTGCTGTCCAATGCAAGGTTGCTTCCGACCTCCCCAAGCTTGTTGAAGGTCTGAAGCGTCTGGCCAAGTCTGATCCTATGGTTGTCTGTACCATTGAGGAGTCTGGGGAGCACATAGTTGCTGGTGCTGGCGAGCTCCATCTTGAAATCTGCCTGAAGGATTTGCAAGAGGATTTCATGGGCGGTGCTGAGATCATAAAATCCGACCCTGTTGTGTCCTTCCGTGAGACTGTCCTCGAGAGGTCTTGCCGCACGGTCATGAGCAAGTCCCCCAACAAGCACAACCGTCTCTACATGGAAGCCCGTCCCTTGGAAGAAGGCTTGGCCGAGGCCATTGATGACGGCAGGATTGGCCCAAGGGACGACCCCAAGATCAGGTCGAAGATCTTGGCCGAGGAATTCGGCTGGGACAAGGAGCTTGCAAAGAAGATCTGGTGCTTTGGGCCCGAGACCATCGGCCCGAACATGGTGGTGGACATGTGTAAGGGAGTCCAGTACCTGAATGAAATCAAGGACTCTGTGGTTGCGGGTTTCCAGTGGGCCTCCAAGGAGGGCCCGTTGGCTGATGAAAACATGAGGGGCATCTGCTTTGAGGTTTGTGATGTCGTTCTACACGCTGATGCTATTCACAGAGGTGGCGGGCAAGTTATTCCGACTGCAAGGAGGGTTATCTATGCTGCTCACCTAACTGCTAAGCCCCGTCTGTTGGAGCCTGTTTACTTAGTCGAGATCCAGGCTCCTGAAGGGGCCCTTGGAGGAATCTACAGTGTGCTGAATCAGAAGAGAGGACATGTGTTTGAGGAAATGCAGAGGCCCGGGACTCCTCTGTACAACATCAAGGCTTACCTGCCGGTTATTGAGTCCTTTGGTTTTTCGAGTCAACTTCGGGCTTCAACTTCGGGCCAGGCTTTCCCACAGTGTGTGTTTGACCACTGGGACATGATGAATTCAGACCCGTTGGAGGCTGGGTCTCAGGCGGCTACGCTTGTTGAAGAGATCAGGAAGAGGAAAGGTATGAAGCCCAACATTACCCCGCTGTCTGAGTACGAGGATAAGCTGTAAGCTTGATGTTGGTGGTCTATTATAAACTCTGCTGTGCTGTGGTGCCTATTAGTAATTGTTTTTGTTTCTGCTGTTTTAGTTTCTTTGCTTTTGGATAATTTGAATATGCTACTCTGAAGACTTTTGAGTTTTGGGATTCAGATTTTGTGGTTTGAGTTGTTGTGTTTGAGACTTCTTATGAGGAGACAATATTATGTTTTTCTTAGTTTTGGACTTGGTGTTGTTGGCTGTGGTATATGTGTTCTGCTGATTTTTGGTTTTGTTTGGATTTGTCTTGTGGTGGTTTTGCTTCACTTCTCTTGATTTGGTGTGAATAACTATGATGGTATGCTAGAGGTTTGAAAGGTGGGGATGAATTTTGAAGTCTGAACTTGTGTCTTAACACTATTGGCTTGCTGCAATATTGTGTTTGGGTGAGCTTTCTTCTTTTCCTCTCCTTTACCTATTATTAATGTTCTCGGTTTTGTAGAGAACACCTTTTTGTTCCCACCTTTTTTTTTTTGACCAAAAATCCTTCTCAATCACTTCATGAGAAATATTGAAGACTTGTTTGCTTTTCCAGTAGTTCGAAACTTTGTATTCTTGAGCTTGAAATCACTGATTTTTGTAGGGAAATGGTTATTTCACGACTTTATATTGTTGAGCCTGAAATCACTGATTTTTGGAAATGGTTATTTTGAAATCGCTAATTTTTGTTTGGAAATGGTTATTTCATGACGCACGTATGAATCAAACTGTACACAGAATATAAGGAAACAAGCCCCAGTTTCAACTTCTAAACAACAAAATTCACATAGATATCTCAAATTTGCGAAATTCGTGAATCTAAATAACATCCCATTTTTGGAAGAAAAAACCCTACTACTGAAACCCAAAAATCATAGATCCCACTGATATTTTCTTTGATGTGTTCTCGTATCATTTAATTGTATTTGTGTAGCATGCGTGTTTGTCCTCGAAGCATTCGTATGTAACACATCTAAACCATGATAATCAACTTCATCGCTACGTTATTTTAGTAATAGTCACTTCATTTCTGTGTGATGCAAGCAATCTCTATGGGGAGATGAGCGTGATCAGATAGATCACTTTGTCCAGCCTCAGCTTAGCCAAGCCGGTCAATCTCAGGTCACTCCCTCCTGAGGGTGACTAGAAACCCGCTGAAGAACTACAACAAAAGCGAGGGCTGGAATGAGAGCAATAACGTGGTGCACTCGTCCTCCACGTTTACCCCGTCCGGTTTAACAACAAAGAAATGACTGCCGCTCTTCCACAATTTATCCAGGCTTTTTAAGCTCACCTCCTTGACTCCATCATTGATCCCGACTTTTATCTTGACTAGTCTCATCTCGCCGAAACTCCATTGTTCCGACCCCACAATAATCCTTCCAACCATTGAACTCCTAGTACGACATACGGTCCTACCAACGAAAATGCGTAAAGGTCGGCTACAGTCACGCCTTGCAGCTTAATCGTACGCTCCGGAAGAATTTAGAGCACCTTAATCGTTCTCCATTAGCAACTCTAACGTCAAACGGATCTACGTTGGTCACAGGCAAATTAAGTTGGCTGGAAAGAGAAGAGTTGATGAAGTTGTGGGACGAGCTGGTATCGACTAGTACCACCACCAGTAACTGCATTATCTTCGACTCCTTGATCCCATCCATTGGTCATCATCGCGATGATCAGCATCATACTTCCACCTGACTTCCTCTTTTCTTCCTCGTTGGAATCCTCGTATTCCATTAGAAAGGTTTGCCTCTCTTTGCAACTATTACAATTGACAAACTTTTATCGCACTTGATGCATAAACCTTTCTCCTGTGGGTATCGACCTCGCACCTGCCATGGACGATCCCTCCCTGGTCTTGCTGAAATCGCTAGTTAATTCCTTTTCGAAAGTCCTCCAACGGATCGTGGTATTTTTCTTCATGTAGACTCTCGACAACCACCGCCACCAAACGTTTGTTTCTCCGTCAAGATAACAGGCAGCGATTCTTACCTTGGTACTTCGTTGATCTCAAAGTATAGATTGGCCCGACTCAGCCGTGAATCGGGATCTGCCCCGTTGAAGGTCGGTAGAGTCACTTTGGGCCTCTCTCTCCTGCGCTTCTCCCGATGGTTCAAACACCTCGACCTGTTGTCATTGCCATCCGCGAATTCATTGAGAAATTCCAGATCCTTCTCCAATTCGGTGGATCCGTCCAACGACGAATCTGAATCGCCCCTTCTCGTGCGTCTAGCGATCGTATGGAGCAGTACCCTTGTAATCCGTGTGACGATTTGTTTCGTCCATACGTCCTCATTGATGTACGTAAACTCTCGTCCAATCGATGGATTTGTTCTCTGTTCGCCATGGTGATACACGATCGGTTCTCTCAGTGAAAGAATGAATGATGAAGATCTTGTATCGTGAATAGAAATTGCGATAGCCCACGCTAACGACAGTCGGTTATGCATGATGGATTTGTGCTCGAACGCAAGCGATTTTTGAGATTTTTTATTACTTGCCTCTTCCCAACAATGAATACAAGAGGTTTAAAGAATAAAAATACTAGAAATTGCAACCAGGTTCTCAGAAATAATATATAAACAAAAGCATAGTTACTAACTATCAATATTGGCTACATGGTCCATGTCGCAAATAAGTCGTGTCCACGCCTAATGGATATGCGCTGCTGTCCGGAATTTCGTCTGCATTAGTAGGGTTGAGCATGATACTAGGAGAATTAAGAAGCGTTCTGAAAATCGAACCAAAATCACTTCGAACATATTGACCAGTTCTGAAGATTTCACAAATATCTGTACGGAGGATTGAATCATACCATTTCATACAGTAGCGAAACGAAGAACCGCAATTATGAATTGAACTATAAAATTAGTTGTGTCTTGTTTAATTTTATGTCAACTTTAATCCCATATAACTTGTAATATTTTTGAAATACATAATAAAATATAGTTTTATATTTAATAACACTTGATTTACAACTGGATTCTTATTTTTTTTTAAAATTTTATTTATATTGTATTTGCAGATACTTTTCTTAAACTTATTCAATCTTACAATTAAAATGGTATGAAAGGTTAATGAAATAATTTATTTTATAAAAAATAACTATATTTGAATTCCAATTTTCTATCATTACTTGCAAATTTTGAGTTAATTCTATATTTTTAAACTTGATTTCAAAATAAATCTTTGTATATGGTTAAGTATTGATGAATGTTGGATTTGTTTTTTTTTTCTCTAAAAGCATATCAAATTTTAAATGTAACTAGATAGCCAATTGAAATATTTAATAAATAATTATAAATCTCCGGAGTTCCGATCCGAATTAAATCAAATCGTCCTCATAGTTCCAAATACCGAAACCGAATCGGCTTGGTTTTTTGTACGAAAATTGAATTTTAGTATTCTCCAAATCTACGAAAATCTCGGGTACAGTTCTAGAGATTTCTCAATCTCCCAACCGTACCTACCCATGATAAACCCTATTTGAGAGTATTGGGATTTTCTTTCTAGTTGAAAAATAAAAAATAAAAAAAATCTACGAGGTATGAGCAGATTCAAAAATCAAAAGACACTCCCAAAGGATTTTAAAAGAGAAGAGAATAAAGGAGAAAAGAATTAGATCCGGTAGTAGCCGCGACGAAGACAGTGCCAATAAACCGGGCCAGTTATGAATTTATATTTACTCAAACCTTATGCACACATCTGGTTATCTTGGTTCGTCCTTACTTTGACAAGTAACATAGGCTGCATTTGCCACATGCATGTTTAGCCACGATAGATACATATGAAATTCTACCATTAGGGTTCAAATAAGAGTTTTGGATGCTTGACATAGCTTCCAAGTGAAATTGTTTAAGGCTATGTTTGTTTTGAGGGATTTATCTGTTTGGTCGTCAACGGTGATAAACAGTGGATTTCGAATGACTAGATTTGAGGAGTTATTTAAAATCCTTTAAAATAATGACTAAAAACCATCTAGCATATATTTGAAATCCCTCAACTTCTATTACCATTCCAACATGCATGAGGACTTGAACTTGTAAATTTGAAATCTATATATTTCAAATCCCTCAGTAAATCCTTCAATCCAAACTTAGCCTAAGTCGATTTTAAGTACGACATGAAGCATACTAGGATATCTATAGCAACTTCACATTAGAACCGCAAGCAACAAGCAATACTTTTAAGTTGAAGTTAAAACTTCTGCTAGTGAGCTTTAGTGGTGGATTTAAAAGGCCTTGGTCCTCTTAAGTGTGTATGCATTTCGTCATACATAGTTGTAATTCTTAATCTGAACACGTGTTGCCAAATTCTTAATATTCAGTTTCTCATGGGGATTTTATCAAGGGCTTCGATCGCCTCTTCTAACTCAACTCCTGTGCTTTTAATTGCTTTAATGCTCTATTTCGGTATGCAGTGAATCACTGGTCCAAATTACTCGTCCATCCACATTTTATATTTCGTATTCATATCTTCAAGCAATAATCAGCAATGTATAATATCTTCAAGCAATCTTCATCGGCTGATAAATGGTTCAACTTCATGCAAGTGCAACTTCATGTTACTTATAAAACATATCCTTTTTGGCTTGTCTGATAAATGGCACAACTTATCAAGCCAGTGCATTTACATTGTTTCTCAGTTCCATGTTTGAACTAACTGCAACAAAGTGCCCAATTCTCAACAATAAAGTTCACAAGACTATAGAGTACTTTTAGAGTTTTGACAATACATTAACATAAATATAAGCCTAGTCGCTTGTAAAGCAACACAACTAAAACACAATAACACGAAAGTACAGATACACCAAATCCCAGTTCACCTTACAGACAGTTCATAAGAGACCTAAAAGACAGCTTCTATGGAGCCATGACTAGGCATCTAAAAAAACAAATATAGAAGCACTTTTTATTTACATAAATTCTATACACGCGCCTCGTAACAAATCCTGTTTTCAATTGACTTACCGAGATGTTACGTGGGCCGCATTCACAGCCGAGACCATCGATTCCACCCCACAAACATTACGGCCCTTGCAAATCTTATAGTATCCACTTTCTCCCCAGTTTTCACCCCACGAGTTCTTTACAATCCAGTAAGGTTTTTCCTTGAGACGAATAGGAGCAAAGCCCCCCGCACCATATCCCACAAGGAGCACACCGTGATCCAAATGTTTCCCACATATGTAAGGACACGACACTCCCCCAATGTATGTTTGCATCCAAGCTGCATTTATTCCCACTGGCGAAAGAACAAACAACATAAGAAAATGATTAAGATTGCTTTCACCAACAATTTTTAAAAGAACACAAGTTAATAAACCAAATCTAGTTATGAAATGGAATGATACCTGCGAGAGGGCCGTACTTAACCAGATTGGCAGCAATTTGCTCATCATCAAGGGAAACAACGCTGAAGTTTGATACTGAAGCAGCAATTTTGCTCTTGTCGAATTTGCAGGCGCCGTTAGTCCCTGTGTACGGATAATCTTTCTCTTTTTGGAGTCCGCCAGCTTTTAGGGTGTATTCAAAGGCATTGTTCATGAGTCCACCGTCACATCCTGCATCACATGCACCATATTCCTCCGGATCACACTGTCAAGGAAAACAAAGCTTTTGCACATCAATACAAGCAATAGTTTTCTTTTCAGATATAAATGCATACACAATTACAACAAACAATCAGTAAGAAGCAGTGTAGCACCTGATAACAAATGAAGCTCTCACAACTTTTTCATTCCTTAATTTATTATTCTTTTTTTCCCTTATTTTTTATATTCAAGAACATATAGCGCTGTAGTTTAATCATAGATTTTTTAGATTAAACTGCTTGACCATAAGGTTAGGGAATGCGGGTGTTTAAGCAACAAAAGCCATTCCAACACAGTAGCACGCCTAACCACAAAGACAAATACACATGCCAAAGTAAATTACCATGTACGACCTTTCATACATCCTGAGAAGATAATTCTATTGTTTTCTCTGTACTCAAGTTTACTGGTGACTCAACCAAAGAACTGTTACAAATATGATTTTTTCCAATAAGGACGATCATACCTCTTCACAAACCATTATGGATATAATACAAACAGGCTGCATTAAACATCAGTTTTCTAGGCTGGAAGTTAATGAAAAATAATAATCAGTATAGAGGAAGAAATACTCATCGTCACATAAAACAATGAAATTAAGCTTAAACAATGGCTTCCTAAAAGGATTCTTGTTGGATAAGATTCTTCATTAAGTTTCCATAATAGTAAGTCAATAGTACATCCTTAATTCAACTTAAATATTTAGTATTCAAAGACGTCAATGATTCAAACCTCATGATCACAGTCCACAAGCTGCTGCTCACTGAGGCTCACAAGCTCTCCAGTGGCCAGATAATGAGCTCCTTCCAGTGCCCCAGTTGTACTGAAAGACCAGCAAGAGCCACAAGACCCCTGTCACAACCCCATATAATAAATAAATTATTAGGTATGCAGCATACAACATGTATGTAAAACTCCACGGTGATACATAAATCTCCATCAAAGCATTTCCAGTTTTAGAGTGGTTTTACAGTCGGTACAAGAATCTATTTTTTCAAAGTATTCAGAGTGATAAAAATTATTACCCATATACAGTCCCTTTCTTTAATATAATTTATAACAATAAGATAAGATGGTTTATAATCCTTCCATGAATGAGATCAATTGACATGGAATTTGACTAGACAAATAAAAGATGATTAACAGTTTCATAACTACAGTAAAGTCTTATCTAGCGAGTTTAGAAAAAGAAACTATCTAAATTCTAACTGAACTATATGGTTCTGTTGTCAACACAAGCACAGTTACCATCGAAAGAAATAACACTTCTCTATCAATTCAATTAGAATATCTACACCACGAGATCAGAGTAAAGGATCAAAAGCAAATAAAGGAAAACCTGATCTTTAACGCCAGTAACGGCTCCGTGATCTCTCCAGTCAAAGTCCTCCGGGAGATCTTTCGTCGGTAGGGCCGGTGCCTTGTTCGCGTCCGCCGGAAGCTTCAGCCGCCTCTTGTGGAGCCCCAGGTAGCTCCTCTCGAACTCGTCGGGGGTCAGATCCGAGAACTTGGTGACGCCGTGGACGGCCGAGGGGTCGAGCAGCTGGTGCCGCCTCGCGCGGCGCAGATTGGCCTTGAACACCGAGAACCGGTGGTCGTGCTCCTCCTGGGAGGCGTACGACTTCCCGTACCTGGCCTTGAACAGCGAGAAGTGGCGGTCGGCGTGCAGCAGCTCGTCGACCGCCTCGGCGCCGTCGGAGACGACCTGCCGGATCAGGGAATCTTCGGCGACGGCGTCGATGAAGCTCTCGGCGGAGGCGAGGGCGGCGGAGAGAAGAGTGAAGGAGAGGATAGAGAATAGAGAGAGGGACGCCATTGGAGATGAAAATTGGGAGATATTTTTGGTAGGGTTGAACTTGTGAGTTTGTTTTATAACTGGACTGGTTATAGTTGGTGGGGGATTGACTATTTAGATAAGGACACGTGGCGTTTTGTTGTGGTGGGTTTCTTTGGATGCAGCTAGAATAGAACAATGTGTGGGTGTGGCCTCTCTAGTTGCCAAGATTTTTGGGAGTGGATCGATTTTTTGTATTTCACAAATTATTGTATTCGACACTAATCAATTTATTATCATTATTTATAAAAAAATATACATTATAAAATGCCATATTTTTATTAATAATTTTTTTTAAAAAAATATGATATTTTAAGCTAAAATTTTATATATGTAAAAATATATAATTATCTTACTATTAAATTTATCTAACAGAAGTCCCTAATATCACTCTTTTGATTGGGTTAGTTTTAATTTTTTATTATTAGATCAATGTTATTACCGTTAATTAATCCCTTACCTGTAGCACAACAATGATGGTATAATAATTGAGTTGAATTAAAAAGTTTTTAGTTAAAAAATAAAAAGAAAATTTATTCAAAATTTTCAATAACTCTTACAAATTTATATTATTATTTGTATTTAAAACAAAACATACACAACACTTTCTTGTCATATGCTATAATATATATATATCTATATAATATGAATAATAATTTACTAAAAATAGTAGTAAAAAATTTTGTGAGTATTTAATGCATATATTTTTTTGGAAATATTTTAATATATGTATTAATTGCTTCCATATACATGTTTTCAAATAAGATCAAATCAGATATGATCAAAAATTTTGTTTCCTTAAAAAATTTTATTAATCTCTGCAATAATTTAATTGATATCCATTATAATAAATTACAAAATTGATTTTTCGTGATTCATATTGATAATATTTTGGTCAAAATAAATATTACAACATAATTTAAGTTAACCATAATATTAATTTTTTCCACAAATATTTACTTTTTATCTAAAAACATTAATAAAAAATCGTAACAGGTTCGGTAGAATTATTTTCTTCCAATTAATTAGGGAAAATCATGTTGGTGAATTAATTTTTGCCAATTTTCTTGAGCTTTATTTCGTTATGTATAAGAAATAAACTATTCTTCAAATTAATATAATTTATCATTTAAGAAATAATGATCACATACATTAAATAGTTTTACTAATGGTCAAAATTAAAATTGAAATATATTAACTGTTCTTTAGAATTTAAATAGTTTTAGTCTCTTTTGTGGAGTTTGTTTAGTTTCCAAGTTTGAAGTTTTTTGTTTCTCGAGCCCTTGATTTTCTATGTAATTTCAGTGGGGATTGATCCAAATTTTGTTATGACTTGTCGTGCCTGATATCTAGGGGTGGGCACGATCCGGGACGGTCCGAGATGTGACCTATCCCGGTACCTGTCTCGTTTTTTTGAACCGGTCCGGAATGAGACACCGTCCCAAATGGATCGATATCAATCGAGACCGGGACAAAACAGATCAAAAAAAAAAAAAAAACTCAACCAAATTACAAATACATATTCCATCAACATACATTAAACTTAAAAGATCAAAACAAACATACACATACACAAACATACACGTTGGCTAAGAATGAAGAATCTGAAAAGTGAAGGTCACAGTTCACTTCACCCGCCTCTTAATATTAGTTATTTACTAGTACGTAGCCCGTGCGATGCACGGGTCTGAGTTTCCAGATGGCCTGTCCATTAGGTTTAAAAAAATAGAGTTAGATCATCTATTCTATACATCTTTTGATCATCATTATTTTTTTAGTTATAACGTTAAACCTCAACCTATTAGCTCTAGTATGTAAATTAATTATTAGCTCTAGTATGTAAATTAATTAATATATTCTCTCACTAACACGTTGATACTAATATAAATTTGATTTAGTATATATATTTATTCTTTAATATAAAAAATAATAGTTTTACATATTCTGGTATAATACTTAATTTATTATTTTATCATAAAATTTATTGTCATTATAAATTTTTTAATAAATATTTTAGAAAATAAAAAAAATATTTATCTATTTACAAACTCATTATCTCGAGTTTGAAACCATAAATTTTATTCTTCAAATAAAATTTGGAAAATTTTAACTTGTAATCAGAGATGAATTTGAATTGATTTGAAATTCCTAGTCCATCTCAAATTTATTTTGTGAAAAAAGGCTATCCAAAATGTTTATACCAAGAGTCCTAATATTTTTAAATTGTAAAAAGTCTTCATGCAAAATATCTCCACTGACTTTGGCGGACCACAATATCGTATTTGATTCAACAAATTAATTAATTTTAGGCAGTGAATAGTTGTGTATGTATGTGGAAGAAATTTGTAAATTTAAATTCCAAAACCAATATCGTATGTAATGGGTTTATACCAAGTTCCCAATTTTTTCAAAATTGTATAAATCCTTCATGCAAGGAATCTTCACTAATTTGAGGACCAACAAATTACTTAAATTTAGGAAGGCATAAATTGTGTACGTAGATACTGTTTCTGTTGTATGTTTGAAGAAAATAAATTCAAAAATGGTATTAATATGGGATTATATTATGAGGGATTTAACAAAAATACAAATTTTTAGGATACGATTTGATTTGAATTTTTCAAATTAAATTCCACTTTTTTAGGCCGCCTAAGTCAAATGATGATAAGGATTAATGTTAAAAAAAAAAAGAAAAAAAAATCAGAAAAATAATAAGCAATTAATGTTGTCCTAAAATTTCTAGTTACTATTTATGCTAAATAGTAATTCTTATTATATATATATAGATGTGTATATTGAAACTTCTCTGTATTATTTTCTCTGCATGTTGTGAAGGAGGTGATAAAAAATGCTATCAATGAACACCCTTTTATACACAGGCCTAAATGGATTGACATCACGTAAAATATGGAAAGATTTTATTAAGATATTATTGCCGAAATTGTTAACGATAAAGAAGGATTGATTTTGATAAGGCTGTAATACCAGTGCCTTTTTAGGATTTTTTGTTGATGATAAATATGGATTGATATGCACATTTATCTTCACGTAAATTATGCAATCACAAATTCAAATTGAACGGTTTTTAAATATGGTATCAGAATTTCAAATTGATTTTTATCACAATAAATATTTTTTTCATACAAATCATATATGAATATTTATCTCAGTCCAAATGTTTTTGAAAAAAAAATTGTAAACGTGATTTTTTGAATTCAAACCAAACGATTTTGTATGGGAATTGGGATCAGATAAGTGTGAATTTCAATTTTCAAATAATATATGCATGATTTCTTTACAAACAAAATTAATTTGGCCAATGTGAATTGATTTTCAAAAAGAGAACTATCGGATAAGTGTGAATTACAATTTTCAAATGCATGATATCTTTCCAAACAAAAATTTCGCCCATAATAAAAAGCACGTGAACTGATTTTGAGAGAGAATTGGGAACAATTGAATAAGTGTAAATTTCAATTTTCAAACAACATATTTTTGATTTTTTTCAAACAAAAATTTTGCTCATAATAAAAATGCGTTAACAGACTTCTGAACAAATTTATGAATTGCGTATAATATGAAAGTTTGGTAGATTAAAAATAAAATAAAATAAAATAAAGGCAGAATAAATGTTAATTGGAAACTAACAGATTTTGGATTTTTAAAAGTAAATAAAAACCAATCGGATTTTTTAAGTTGATGAAAACCAAATGATTTTCAGTTTTTGAACTGGTTTCCAAAAGAGGGAAGTCAAAAAGGATTTTGACCAATTTTTTACAACTTTCCACAAATGATTTATTGACCTCTCTTTTTCAATATATATAGATTCACTATTTGGGCCAAATGCAATGGTAATTGTTTAGTTAATTTTTTTGGGCCAAGTGGAATTGGGCTTCTAAATATTATAATTTACAACATACAAATACAAAGGGCCAAAAAATAATAATATTTTTGTATTTTATATAAATATAATATAATAATAATGATTATGAACTAATGAAGTTTAATAATTATTCACTATATTATTAATATAAATATAATAATAATGTATTATATATATATATAATATTTTTGTACAAAAAAAATAAAATGGGACAAACGGAACGGTTCGAGAAAAAAATATTAGGAACCTATACCGGCTTTGCTTAAATCGGTTCGGGACCGGGAACGAAACAAAAATAAAGAAAACCTTTTTGAACCCTATTTTTCGGAACAGGACCATTTCGCTTCGGTTCGGGACCGGAAAATTCGATTTTTTTGCCCACGATATCTCAGTTGTACTCTTCTTAAATTATTAATATAATTAAAAAAAAAATCTTACCACTGACAGTGCAGTCGCGTATTGGTGAAATTGTCCTTGCAAATCCGGCTGCATGTTATTCGGTATCTCCCTTTAGGTTTCAATATAAATTATAACTAGTACAACACCCATGTATTACATGGATGGTGACGGTGCCTCGTTCATGGATGGATTCATAAAAGTGGGATGGGTATCCGGACAAGTCAAATCCAAGACCGTCCCGGCCGGCGTCCATTCTTACCATAAATAATCAACATATTATAGATAATCCGAACCTAAATATATTTGGATTAGAAGTAAACTAAATCTACCCAAACCTTATAACGAAGCATGTATTTTTGCCACATAGGATCCCGAAGAATGCGAGTCTGCCACATAGGCTCAGCACGTTCTCAATTAACATATAGGGAGGGATGTCAAAGGCGATCTTGTCATATTTACTTCAACTCTCTGTAGCATTGATTTTAATAGATTCAAAAGCAGCAGCATCTCATCTTTTGGACCAATTTTCCATGGCCCCTCTCTTTCACTAGTAGATATTTGTATTGCCCTTAGTGGGAGTGGGAGTTGGAATATTAACTACGCTTCATTGTTAGTCAATGATTTTATGTGGAATACACTTCATGGGTGACGTCTATTTGCTAACTAATTTTCATTAATGATGTGACATTGTGAAGCAACTCGATAAATCGTTTGGGTCGTAGAATGTTACCTCGAATCTCATTAAATGCCATT